TCCTTTTGTTTGTCTCTAGTTGTGTTTATAATTTCTCAGATTTCTAAAAAAAGCAAACCCCAAGTAACCCTGCCTTCCCAAATTTTTTCTTTGCAATACCACACAAACATCCATGTGGACTCCTTTTACTCAGACTGCCTCTCCAGTGAATGGAGCCACCGATGGATTGATTCTTGGTCAGGACTGGCACGGTGATGAGTTGGGATGTCCCCATGTTTCAGTAATATTTGCAGAAAAAATACAGAACTTTGGACTCCTGGATTTCATTCCAGTCTCTGGACAAGTGTCTTTGGAGGGGCACAGACTCTTCTGCCCATTTTTAGTCAGAATCCTTAAGAATTGTTCATATTTGGCTGGATTTTCATGGCAACATCTCTTCACACAAAAGCCACTCCTATTCCAAAGTTCAAGTTCTTACTTCAAAGCATGGAACTGGTACAGCTTTTCAAAGGAAGGCTCCTCCGAGTTTAAGATTAGTAAAACAATATATTCCCAGCAGAACAGTTTCAGCTGAAATTTTGAAAACAAATAAATGCATAAATCACAATTTAGCCTGAGACAGACGCCCAGCATGGACAATTTCAGCCAGAACGTTTCAAGTTTGGCAAAGCTGTAAGAGACTGAAAATCGTCTCATCATGTGAAGTGTGTGGCATACTTCATACGAGGCGATATTATCAGCTGTAACTAATCCAAGCTGCACATATAATTCACAAACGTAGCTGGCAGGGAAGGAAAAAAACAGTTTTAATAGATCAATTAGTGCTATGTTCCAGCCTGAATCAAACTATTGAACAAAACCCCACAAAATTTGGTACTTACTTCAGCAAATGTCTTAACACTGAAGTTCCCCAAAACACAAGTGAATCATTTAGCTACTGGTAAATATATTTAACCATATGTAGTTGAATTTCCTGGAGACAGACTTTGCAGTGACTCTTGAATATAGCACTACTCTGTTTTCTTTCATCCAATGATTTTGCATTGACTTGATATGCTAAAAATTTCCATACCAGATCTCTGCAATTAGCCAGGGGGATCTGGGTTTTGGATAGTGACCTTGCAGCATAAAATGACAAAGCAAATTTCTGTACTTGTAAGTTATAAAATTATCCTATAACTCTTTAAAGTAGATGTCAGCTTGCTATACCCACAAGGAGTTAATCTACCCACGGTACACTACGATCTTTAATAATTGGAAGCGATTGGCCAAAGTGCTGTAAACCTGGCAGAAATTTGTTGCCTTATTTTCTGCAAACCACAAGCACAGCTTATTAATTGAGAAATGAACATTAACTGGCATTCGCTAGCATCTGTAAAATGAAAAAGAGAAATAGCCATGCTATACATTCAGCCGTAAATGGTAGAGCTGCAAAGCTGCAACAGGTAAAATTGTTTTTTAAGCGTGAATGCAAAATCATTTTAGTCGGCTGCTGGCAAATGCCCAAGTCTAGGGTTTTTAATGAGGCTTCTGCATCAAAATAAGTGAAACCACATGGAATTTTAATTGTTCTTATGCTAAATATGAAACACACTGGAGCAGTATTCTTGAATCTAGGATGTTAGCATACATATTGGATGTTAACATGACCACTTTTCTGTTCTAAATGTGTAGATCTCAGGAAACTTGAGTGCCAGGTTACCTTAGAGATAGAGAGGAATCAGCTTGGAAGATTTAAAAACAATTTAACCTGAACTATTTCATATATTAAGGGGTTTGTAAAACAATGGACTTTATTGTTTTGTATTGTCTAGCACAGTTAACTTATTAGACTGTGTAGGAAAAGATCACTTGCTGTGCTTGTTGCGTGTTGCTCTTTCTGGCGGCAGAAAATAAAGTCTCTTCTCTTTACAGAAGCTTGGTTTCGCAATCTTGCAGCCACAGTGTAGGGCAGAGGATCTGTGCTTCACCCATTTAATACAAGCTATCACGAGAGTGGGAATTCACAGATGCAAATTGTTTTCTTGCTCTGATGGAGGGAAAATTAGCATAAATCTTTAATCGTGCTGGGGAGAGGAATAAATAATTTACTTGTACTGTCATGTTGCTATACTGCTGATCAACATCGCTATTTGTGCACAACTAGATATACAAAGATGGGTGCCATACCCAGAAAAGCTATTTACCTTCCCAGTCCAGCAAAGAGCTAAACATATATAAATGAATATGCATCAGGTGTTCCCAAGTTAGAACCAAAATCAACTTTAGGGCAGGAGGTAGCACAGAGGAAGAAGGAAAATACATCAGTGAGATTGTGCAGTGGCGAGTTTGGCAAGAAGCTGAGACTTAGAGGTGACTTTTAATAAAGTTATTAAGAAGGAAGAGTTTAGAACTAGCAACACAGAAAACTTTCTGATCACCAAAAATATCTTTACACAATGGAAATACAGAAAGCTGTGAACAAATCGTAGTTTGTGCAGGGAGTTAGGGAGATAGCAAAAGGCATTTGGGCAAAAGGGGGGGTGGAGAAGTGAGTGTGCAGGAGCCATGCAGACGCAGCCATGAGTGAGATAAGAAAGGGTTATGGTTGTTTGGCCTTTGGGTAAATAGGATTGTGCTTTACAAGCAACAGTAAAAACAAACAAGTGTGGATTGACTGGGGTATGTAAGGAGATCTGTAGACCCACATTAGAAATGCTGATGTGTGGTGTGCACATTTCCAGTCATTCAACACATATGTGTTCGCTTGGCAGCACCCATACAGGTAATATTTGGATTTAGCCCTGAAAGGGAGATTGCCCTTTAATGTGTAACCTGTGTGCATAGTTTGTTATTAAGAAAAAAAAAAGGTATTGATTGCAAAGAAACCAAAAATGCTGATGGTCTTCTACACCCTTACACTTATATCAATTCTACCTTTGGTTATGAAAGTCTTGTTTAGCTTCTATCAGGGTAAACTAAGAGCAACTCTGTTCATGTTGGGACAGTTGCAGTAACAATAAAAGAAAAGAAAAAAAGCAGCATAAGCGGTAGCAGATTGAAACTCAGTATTTTGAGCAGCTGGGGAAATTATGTTCTAACCTTATATTTCCAGATACATATCAGACCTGTTCACAATATAAAGGATAGTGTTCCAAAATTACAGCTTTGAATCTGGGTGGTATCGCCTCTGGCTATTGTTTGCAGTTGGGAACGAAAAGAAGTTGCATCAAGCAGTAGTGTTTGCTGTAAAGGTACAAGTTATATTACATTCCACGGGGCTGTGGTTGGAGGGATTGGTGATGGAGACAGACCCATTCACCCGTAGGTCACTGATTCAGTTCCAGATAAAAATAATAGTAATCACATTGTCATCAAAGTTAAAAATGGGCTTTTACTGCCCATTTAAGCCTCTGTACTCAGTATATTTTGATTATAACCCCCAGGTTTCAGGCTGCATGTTAGGGGCGCTTGGCTGGCTGTGGCCCAGGTCCTCCAGCCTGAACCCTAGTTATGCCTGAGCTTTGTCCCTCTGCTGCTTTTAGATTTTGTTGGAAGTATGGGTTAAATTTGGTGGTAGGACAGAGAGAAGCGTGGTCTAAATCACCAAGTGTGCAACACAAGGTGGCAGGATCTATTGAGTCTGTGGCTTATGGTAGCAACCACCACAGGAGAGCAAAGGCAGAAAAGGTGGAGGGACCTTCCTTCTACACAGCATTGTCAGCAGGTCAGATACAAAGCCTATCTGCAATGAAAAGCATTGCTTCATCTTATATTCAGGATATATGGATTGTTTCAGTGTTCAGCACGTAGAAACTGTAGAAGTGTCAGCTGGGAAGTGTAGGGAGAGTCCATTTGATTTCACGATTTTTCCCTTTATTTATACCTTATTCTTTCCAACTCTCTATAACTATGTATATATGTACATACTGAATACTGGCTCCTGCACTGTACTTCTTCATTAGGCTTTTTCTTGGGCCCCCCCCAACCCTGCCCGTCTCTTTTCCCACACCCTTTTTTTTTCCACTTTTCTGGCTCTCAGCACAAGCCTTCCCCATCTTTTCCTTCTGCTCCTGTCCATCCCACAGTCTCCTAAACAGATCACCAAGCTACTAACGTTTGCTTTCCAGTTCTGCTCTGAAACTTTGGGTGTTTGATGTGGGATTAAAAATTAGGCAAAATGAGTTTACCCATCCCTGTTTTGTGTTAGACTCCAATTCACAGCGTTACCATCCAGACATTCACAGTAGCCGTAAACTGTGTGGTCTTTTTTCAACCAGACTGCGCAGACAACATATGAAAACAACTTTTTTCAATGGCAAAAAGTGTTGGGCTTGTAGTTTTCCATCGACTGCACTGAAAAGTAAAATTTGCATCTTTGCTATCAGCTCAGTGGCCTTGCCCATCCTTCAGATACAGCAAATACTTGTCAGCCACAGGGAGCAGCTGAGCCGATTTTCACATAAATAAATTGATTTAAGGCAAGAAGTGGGTCTTCATCACCCCTGGTGTAACTCCCCTGGTGTCAGTGGTGCAACTAACTTGGTGTTGCCAGCTCTTGTAGTTGATTATAAGTTGAACAGTAATTTCTGCTTTTCTTGAAACCCCAGCTCCTGACAGAGTGTGCTGACGTGGAAATCTCGGCTTTCATGTGCAACCAGGCCCGAGTTTCACATAAGGTTATAGCAAAACAACAGAGACACATAACCTTCAACGCTCAGAAACCAAAAGGCAGATCGACTCCAAATCCACCTTTCTCTCGTTGGCTTTTTTTCAGTCTCTTGATTTTTGAGATTTTTTTCCTCCCTGTCTGACTTGTGACCTTTGAACACTTCAGATTGGCAATGCTGCTCCCTCCATTGGCATTGGTAGAGTTAGACCAGGGATGGATTTGGCCCAGCACTTGTAGAAGACAGGTGTATGACTCTGTTCCTTGCAATGTATTATTTTATATGATCTGCTATTCTCTTGGGGGCCAAAAGAAGTGGGTTTTCTTAGAAAAATAGAGTTCTATCATCACTTAATACAAAAAATGGTATTTACAGAATTGTTTTCCCCCGTCTTTTGTTATAATTTTTTAGGTGCTTCAGAGCTGGGCCCATTTTCAGATCCCAGGCAGTTCACAAGCATTTCATCCCTCACTGAGAGCCGCTTCTCCAACCCACGAATGCACTATCCAGCCACCTTTACTTATACACCGCCAGTCACCTCAGGCATGTCACTGGGTATGTCCGCAACCACTCACTACCACACCTACCTACCACCACCCTACCCTGGCTCTTCCCAAAACCAAAGTGGACCTTTCCAGACCAGCAGCACTCCATATCTCTACTATGGCACTTCATCAGGATCATACCAGTTCCCCATGGTGCCGGGAGGGGACCGCTCCCCCTCCAGGATGCTTCCTCCGTGCACCACCACGTCCAACGGCAGCACGCTGTTAAACCCTAACTTGCCCAACCAGAGTGACGGTGTGGAGGCGGATGGCAGCCACAGCAGCTCCCCAACCGTCTTGAATTCTAGTGGCAGAATGGATGAGTCCGTTTGGAGGCCGTACTGAGATTCCTTCTGTAGCCAGCCCGACCTCCGCGAGCCAAAAAAAAACCCAAACCAAACAAATGGTCGACTAACTACGAAGTGCCTGGTTTTTGTGTTTTTATTTTTGTTTTTTGTTTTTAAATAAATTTTACCAGTATGTGCAACTGTGTAGATGGGATGATAATGGCCATAAATAACACAAGAGTTACCAACACACCACAACCCATGTTTCAGATTATGTGGATCAAAGCACATATTTCTTTTTTCCTTGGAACCATTTTACCTTGTTTGATATTTAAAATGTACTTTTTACACACACAAAAAAATCACCCCCTCCTTTTTTTTTTTTTTTTTTTTTTTTTTTTTTTTTTTTTGTCTAGAGTGTTGTAATAACTAGCGAGTACTTTTGCCAATGAGGAGAGAACGGACTCCCCGGCTATCAGGAGAAACATGGTGATGCAAGGCAAAGGCTGCATTCCCGTTTATTTTTTACAGATAAAAACCTAACCATGAACTCCAGATACAGTTGCAATCATACAACGTATGGGACCCTCTTCACACCCGTAGTGCAATTCAACTGGCTTGTATTGGTGCACATAAAAAGGAAAGCAAAGATTGAGTTGCTTCCATTTTGTCATGATACATTCAGATGAAAACAGCTGTCCCAAAAAAAGTTGGTCCAAGCCTTGCTGCAGATAACGGTTGGAACTTCTCTGTGTTCATTGCTTTTTTGGTTTGTTTTTGGGTACTTAAAGAGAACGAGTCTTCAAGTTAGGCTAGACAACCCTGGGGTTTCCTTTTTGCTTTTGTATCCATTCATTTTGCCTTCGATCAGCCAAAAGCCAAAAAGAATAACCAAAACCTTTAAAAAACAAAAAACAAAATGTTATTACTTATGCAAAATATGAAAATGGCAATATATATTACTAGAGCCAAAATGGTATACATAGTATTTGTGTTCGGCTATGTTCTTTTTTATTTTTTTTCTTCTTAAATTATAAATGTGTAAAATTTGAGGTTGTTTGCTAACATGAATCATCATATAACTTTAAAAGAATATTTATAATTATTTAATGACATTTGGACCCTTTAAACGTTTCTTAATGTAATGATATATTGACTTCGGTCTCTAAAAGTGTTTTTGTTTTGTTTCTTTTGACTTACTACATTTCTGCAATGGCGTAAACCTCAAACCTTTACCCAACTCTGAAAAGCAGTCCCAGTGTGAACCAGTTTACAATGTGACTTTAAAACGACAGATCCAACCCAAATCCATACACATCAAATGATTTTGGATGTAGGATCTTTTTCTATAACTTATGAAGGAAATATTGTGTTTAAAATATTTTTATTAGCTCTCTGGTTGCCTTCAACACAGTCTTGCCTTTTAATCAGTAGTTGTGGAGACACTGGAAAAATGGTAGGAAGGATGAAATATTTCCCAGCCTTCCCCTAATTTCTTCTTCTCCCAGGATTTTTTCTCAGAACTTTAAAATTTGAAAATATTCATATTTCAAATGTTTTGTTTTGACAGCATGATTTGAATTTCAACAGGGTTTTTTTCCCCAAAGAAAAATCAAAACCATTCCAAAGCCCGTATTTTACAAATACAGAAATGGGATTAAGGGAGAATTGGTGAAACTTTTTCCCCGCCCCTTGCAATTTCAGCCCATTTGATGGAATAAAAAGGTTCAAAACTTGAGACAGAAACTGCCTGGTAGCAAATCAGCACCCATTAGCATTAAATGCTAGAGCCATAAGGATGCTGTGTTGACTTTGAAGCTGATGTGGCTGTTGCTGTATTAAAGAGACAAGCACAAGGGCAGCAATACTCACCTCTGCAAACGCTGAAGAGAAAAAGTCACCTTAAAAGCCACCCTGGGGCTCCCAGGCACAATACAGGGAGAGCAGATTGCACCTGAAACCCTTAACCAACCTGTCTGCTGCCAAACTAGACAGTGGAGGGGCCCAACTTTTTCCCAACCCAGGGCTGCTACAGCAAACAGGGAGGTGATGCGGGTGGGGCCTGACCCGCCTGCCCCGTGCTATCCCCAAGCAGGTGATGTTAAGTCTGGTTTAGTGGGACGTTCGGCACAAGCTGATGGTGTTAGCCAGCACTGCCTCCTTCCCCTGCCTTGGCCATTGCAGTCCACAGCCTCCTCAGCGGGCTGTCGACCGCCACACCGCTCTTTGGCTGTATTTGGGCTACCTACAGAGTATCTATCTCAGTAGATCAACAGTGGGCATAGCCAAACAGAGCTGAACAACACCATCACTGCTCATTAATAGCAAAGCTGTTAAATGAGTTGACATTAGCGTGGTACATCTCTCCAATTTGCGTGATGACGTGCTCTTAAAGAAAATAAATTAATAAAGTCTTTGCCTTCTAAAGGTTGTATACCAAGTATGCTTAAAGTATAAGTAAGACACTTTGTTTTTCTTCTAATACTTAGTTTTCCTTCAAAGATGGAAGCTGTAATTGATTCTATTTATTGTTGGTTTGTGGTAGCTTGAAGCATACCACTGTCCATTTATTTGTAACTGTAAAATACGTTTGTTAGTCTCAGCAGCACTTAAAAAGCCAGTGTCTGGTTACACATTTCAGTTTTGTTTTTTGTTTAGTAAGCAAGAGAAAAAGATGTACTGCCAGTGCAAGCTGTTTCCTATTTAAAAAAAAGGTACTATATTTGTACATTATTTGTTATTGCTGAGAAGGGCTTTTTAAGGTTTACTGTATGCATATTAAGTAATTTTTAGGGTGCTTTTGTTTTGAAATGTTGTTAAGAGTGGCTGCAGGCAGCAACCCAGATTTCTTTCTTTCTTTCTTTCCTTGTTTCTTTCTTTCTTTCTTTCTTTCTTTTAAAAAAGACTTTGTTGTAAAATTCAAGCACTTAGTTTTTGTTTCTGGATAAATCCAGCACAGACCAGACTTTTGTTTTGCTCGGTACCAACAGGACTCTTTGTGTCCCCACAGCTTTTCAACTGGACCATTAGGGACAGATGTTGATACCATGTTCTCTGCCTGGTTGAGGTGCATGAGCCTGATCCCTGCCCTCAGCTTCCCTGGTTGTGCAGGCAGGCATCTGGCTCTGCCTGCTTGAGATAGGAAGAAAAGGATTTTCTAAATACCTATGGGTGGAGGAGCACTAGCTCCTTGACTCTCAGTAGACCCCTGTGCTCTGAACCCTCCTGGTGCCTTTGGATAATCCTGGTATGTCAGGCTGGTCATGGAGGGTCGTGCGAATGCTCTTGAATCAGGATTTTCAGGCCCAAAAAACCTGCCACTGACACTATGTAGTAAATCCCAGCAGATTATTTGACATTTTGCAAGGTACTTAACATCAGCAGAAAGGAGTTTTCTCAAAGGTACGACAGCCCTTCTGTTTGGTCAGTGGCAATCTTTGGCACTGGTCATACACTGAAAGAGTAAAAATGGCCTTTTTTTTTGCTTTCCAGCTCTCTTACCCTACCAAAGATTTACTTCCAGCACAACAGGCACGATGTCCCTTTTGCCAAACAGAGGATTAAACCTTCCTCTCCCTCTTCCTAAGAGTAACAAGATTGGGGTCAGCAGGTCAGGATGGAAGAGTAAAGCAAATTATTTAACCCACAGCATCATTCGCATGGCGTTTTTTGTTCCTTTTAAAAGACGAGCTGCTGTGTCTTTCTTAGTATAGAACTTTTCGGGCAGCAGTCTCCCGAGCAAAATTTACTGGTTTCTACAGGTACCATCTTGAGTGGGGAAAATTTTGCACTTTCACACTTAGCAAAGCAAAGCTTAGCCCCGACCGGGCTGCATGCAGCCAACAAGCCATGAGCAAAAGCAATAATTAAACTTGGATCAGCCATGAGCTCAAAGAAGCCCCATTCTCTGAACCCCTGAATTTCTTCTTGTTTTTAAATAGAATGCATTTCATTTTAACATTTTCTGAGAACTTTTTTAGATGTTTGTTTACTTCCATGTTTACAGATAACTCTTTGCTTTTTTTTTTTTTTTTTAATGCAGTACTTTTAAGTATATCAGCCAAAACCATACTTTTACAGTAACTTTTGTTCTAGGTAATATGAGTGACATTCCAGTTTTTTTTTTTTGTTGTTAAATATGCTTTACCAGTCTTGAATTTCCGCTGGAACAAAATATTTGTAGCATTTTGTGTAAATACAAGCTTTAATTTTTTATTTTTTCAAATGCTGTCACCCAAGATTTGCTTTTCATGCACATATTGTACAAACACACTCTGCTTTATGCCACAGACAATGATTGTGGATCAGTTTACTTCAACTTCAAAGGGACTATTTGTATTGTATGTTGCAACTGTAAATTGAATTGTTTGGCATTTTCTCATGATTGTAATATTAATTTGAAGTTTGAATTTCATTTTCAATAAAATGGCTTTTTTTTGTTAATGTTCTTCTATGCTTCTTTTTCTTCCACTGTCTCCTCTTAGCAGCAGGCAGGGTAAAGTAAGTACATGGTAGGACACAGTAGTGGCCCTTTTGTGGTGGCACCATCAATTCCTGCAGTGCTTAAGTTTCCAGTTAAATATAAAATGCAAATTTCCAGGCCTGTGGATGGTAAAGGGCACCTTCTAAATCTGATCTCAGATGTTGCTTCTTTTCCTGAGTCTGCAAACTGTCAAAACCTGTATTTCTTAGAGGTGTACATACTGCTCCATTGCTCTTGCTAGATCGTTAACTCTGAAACCTAACAACTGACATATCTGGTGCTAGGGCGCTGTGGGCAGAGCTTGAACTATGGTAAAACTGGGATAGAATTCCAAACCAGGCAGGAGGGATTGGGGTTTATGGCGCTTTACTAGGATGGGGGTTGCGCTATCCCCACCTCTTCCTGGTCAGGCTTGAGGAATGCAGTTGCAGATAATCTTGTGATTTGCATGGCCTAAGGCAAGATCGGTTTCCAAGCAGCAAAAGATATATGGATAGGTAGGGGACTGGAGAAGGAGGCTGTTTTTCCTTCATCTCAGTGTCAGCGGTGGGAGGAGATGCAGCTAATGAAGGTGA